AAGAGGGAGAATGATAGAGAAATTTTAAAAAGAATAATTAATTCAACTTATATTTTAAGTTTTCTATGATGAATTTGCATTTTACAACTTGTGTTTTAAATTTTAATAAATTATATTAAAATTTAAAAATAAATTATAAATTTATCATAATAAAATTATAAAATTAAAAATTAAACTTATAGATTAACACTTAAGACAAATTAAATTAATTAATTTTTTTAAGTACTTGATGTCATTATACCTTTCTTTAAGGCTTTGATTTATCATCTGGCAGTGGTTGACCAGACTGCCCCTACCACGTCATTTAAATCGTGGAATAAAATATTATATATGCAGAAATCTCGTTTTTCTCGTCCAAGGGGTAAATAAATAATGGAGTATGAAGATGGCACAACAACTAAAACCCTCAACCAAACTAGCATCCTTCTTTCCGGGGCCAATATCAAGCATGTCATGCTACAGTGACCAGCTTCGCAAATTTTATAATTCAACAATTAAGTTTGGATTATGTATCTTTTTTATGGAATATATCCTGTCATCAAAACAAAACAAAAATTAAAAATAATTTCACAAATAAGCCATAGCATCTATAGCTTGTAAACATTGCAGTAAATATACAAAATACAAGAACACATGCTGCATATAACTTGTGGATGACACAACTCATTTCTTTACTTTACATAAATACATTGCATTCACTTTGGTATCCAGACACAAATCAAATTTTGACACTGCACTGGAATATATACTTTTATGCAAATAAGGCGTAATTTATATGGTTAAATTTGTAGATTTGAACTTGAAAGCAAAATCTTTGGAGGCAAAAGTGAAGCAAGAACCTTTGGGATACCAATGCAGTTTCATGAAGAAATCCAGGAGCTCTATACTGTACCACAAGAAACCTAATTAAACTTGACAGTGTTGTATATGAAATGAAACAAATGGTCCCAATAATATGGTCATCATGGACCAAATTAATGGCCACCCCTAATTCCCTGCGAAGACGTCACCGGGGACCAAATTTTATTCAAATGAAAATTAATCAATTCTCTAGTTAGGTTGTCTCGTATGATTAGTTATATTTTATGCACATTCGATTGTCCATCATCTTATTATCAAGAGGTGATGAATGATAAAAGGAAAGTAAATATATGTTAATCATTTCCTGTAATATTTTTTATTAATATACATTTCAATTTTTATTTTTTCAAAATATCCCCTAGCACCGATTAAAAAAAAAATTCCCCAGCAATTTTCAAGTGTTATAAAATTTAAGAGATAAAGGTCGTAATGTAATCAATAAAAAACCATTTTTCAGTAGGTGAAGGCTCGCGTGATTATTAATTTATAATATAAATTAAATTAATAAATGTTTTTATTTAAACTATAATCTTTTAACTAATTTTTTCAAAATAAAGTGATCATGAATATGTCTACAAAAAAAAAAAATTGACCCCGAAAACACTATTCTTTTGATTTTTTAATGACATTGTTGGGAAGACTAAAACTGGATAATCAAATTTAGACTGCACGCTAATAATGGCACATGCTTTCATTTATCATTGGGATACCCTCCTTGCTCTTTATTATACTCCTTTGTCCCTGTATATTAAAAGTTTTCTAAAACCTTTTTATATAATTAAATATAATAAGTTGTTAATATATTTTTTAATGAATGGATCATTATATTCTTATTAAATTAAAAAAAGACTTATTTTTTATTTACAATAATCAGGGATAAAATTAGAGTGTTGTTGTGCTTTTAAGTAAATAACTAATTTTTATTAATTTACGTGGTTCAATTAAAAATATCTTATATATAGGGATGGGAGAGTATGACACTTTCAACCGTTTCAAACATCTTAAGTAAAGTTAGTTTTCTTCTTGATATCATAAAAAAGTGAGATGCACTTTTATTTTTGCCCTTAACTTTAAATAATGTTACAACTACATTAAATATGATCGTGCTAATCAAGAAGGGATAAAATTAAAAAAAATAATTTAATTATTACAAGATGTCTTATATTTTAAATTAAAAATTATTCTTAAAAGTTACTTTCTCCATCTCTATATATAAGATGCTTGTAAACAAACCTCGCATATCAATAAATATTTATTATTTAGTTAAACTCACATAAAAATACAATAATTTTTTAGTTTTACCTTTAATAATATCATAATTAATATTACAATAGTGGTAGGAAAACATAAAATTAATGATCTATTACATTTTCCAAAACAAGGATAAACTTATCTAATTACTCAAAAATATCATTACCATTTCTCATATTTAGGGACAAAATAAGCTTTTAAAAAATACTTTATATATAAAGACGAAGGGAATATTTTATAAATAAAATTGGAGGGGGAAACAGAGAAATTATATCAAAGTTTTGGCCACGGCAACTAAAGAGAAACATAGCAGTAAATTTTTTTAAAAGATTAATTTATTAATTTTAAACGAGTAAAATAATAAATAAAAAATTAAAAAATGTTAATTTAGCGAAGAGACTTTGAGGCTATGTTTGGTACAAAGCATTAGAAGGGTGGGATTGAAATTAATATTAGGCAATTCCACCTTTTCATGTTTGGTATAGAGTAATGAAAAATTTAATCCTAGTACCAACCTCTTCAAGGTGAAATTACTCAATATCACCTACCTCCTGGCATTAGAAAATCAATTCTGTGATTGATTATTTTTTGGCCAAAATGCCCTCCCCTACCCCTTCGTCATGTCTCCATCTGCCCTCCACCCCTTATCCCTCATCCCTCCCTCTGCCCTCTAGCCTCCACCCCATCTCATAGCCACAATGAGAACGACAATAACGACGGTGACAGCGACCACACACAGGCACAACATCGATGCTTGAATCACGATGAAGAACATCAACAACAATGATGCAAGGAAAGAGTTGAGCAATAATGGACAAACGATTACATAACGGCGAATGAACGATGTCTCTGTTCCCACGTCAATGATCGAAAAGAGAGAAGGGGAAGGTCTCACTCTGTTAATCTCCATCATTTCATCAATCTACATCACCAATGAATAACGGGCTTTCATGCATTGAAAACCAGAAAGCCATTTGCATCGCCGTTCACTGGTGAGCAAACCTTTATCACTCTATCTATCTACATGAAAACCAAAAAAGGAATAGCAAGAAAATAAAGAAGAAGAACATTGAGCGTGGCAGAGAGAGCAGAGGGAATGGCCATATGCACTGCCATGCTCTTTAGGGGGGAAGGAGAATAATCGTAGATGTGCCGTCATGCTTTCTAAGGGAGAAGGAGAGTGAGAGCAAATGTGCTGTCGTGCTTTCTGGAGCAGGAGGAGAGTGATTTCTGGGGGAGGAGCAACAAAAGCTAGGTTACAGCTTTTTTCTTTTTATTAATTTAAGGGCATTGTGGTCTTTTTATGATTTATGTTTAATTGTAAAATAAAATATAGGTAAGTATTATTTTTAAATATTACTCTATACCAAATATAATTTTAAAATATTATTCTCACTCTTAATACTAATCTTAATCTTAATGCCAATCTCAATTTTAATCTTTTTAAATTGAAGCCTGCATATCAAATAGAAGTTAATTTCCCCCCTCCTCGATTGAAGAGAAGGTGCTAAGCGAGTACTAATAACGACAATAATGAAAATATAATTAAAAACGAACTATGATGATTGCGAGTGTTAATTAATCAGGGATCTAGGGATACGGATCCGCATTCCGTGCGTGTTCATCACCCACAAGGTGATGCTCTTCATTTTATTTTAAAATATCTCTATTGTTAATTTTAAATCATTTTTTTAATATTTTAAATATTATATTTGTAAAACGTAAAAAATTATTATTAAATCTTGAATATCTAAAATATATTTAAATAATTAATTTATAGAAATTAAATATTAAATTGGATTGTTTAAATTATATAAGTACTATTCAAAATATATGTCAATAGTCAATATATAAAAAATATAAAAATTATATTAAATTAAATTATTCAAATTTAATCTATATTAATTAGATTGATGATTAATAAATATATTAAAAAATTGATCTTTTTCATGCATTTTTATTTTGATAAATCTAGAATAAAAATAACAACTTAAATTTAGATTGTTCATATTCTATTACTATTAGGAGTGATTTGAACCATAGTGTTCATTATCTGAATGTAAATTAAGATTGTCCAAAATCTGTCAAAATTGATGTGCATGACAGTGCTCATCATCTAGTGAGCATGAAAGGTACTCCCTCTATTTTAAATTGTAAGATATTTTTTAAAAAAATCTCATATATCAATAAATCTTATTAAATATAATTAACAACTTTATCTTTCTAAAATAAAAATATAAACTTTTAAAAATATCCATCATTTAATATATTAAAAAGAAAAAGGATAAAAATTAATTATAAAAAAAAATAATATTAAAATTGATGTATTTAATGAAACTTTAATCTATCTTAAGTGTTTTATATTTTGAGATGGCAAAACTCTTTCAAAAATATCTTATAAGTTGGGACAGAGATAGTAGTTTAAATTTAATATTAATTTTTTTATAAATTTATTTTTACAAATATAATATTTAAAATATTTAAAGATTAATTTAAATTTACATCAAAGATCATTCTAAAATAAAATGAAAGAGTAGATCACCCATTTGATTATGAGCACGGAATGCGGATCCGTGTAATACAAAGCCAGAGCTTCCCGGAGCATCGGACTTTTAACTATAGTTTGCCCAGTTGGACAGAAAACAGCTTTTAGAAGGCAGCTGATTATTTGACTTTAGTCATGACACCATGGCAGCAGGAATGTGAAAAAGCCCTTGTGGGTCCCATTCAACATGGACTAGGAAACCACAATTTTAATTTCAATTGAATAAAATAAATGCGGGCTTGATAACCGTAAAAAAAAATCATCACAATTTGGATTTTGTGAGAGTCAATGTCCTTGTTCCCTGTATGTTAAAGTTGATTTTGGAGCGAAACAAGATTGCGGGGCACGGTTTTCGGTCAAAGAGATGCAGTAGGTGGGATTGATTAATCTCCAGCACTTGGTTTTCTTTTCTTTTCGTTTTTTCACTTTTTCTGTTTGGTTAAAAAAAAAAAAAATCAATATCGGTGTGTTTTGGTCTTTTGGATTTACTTCTCTCCTGGTAAAGGAGCATTTGATTTTATGTGAATGGCCTTGCTTCAACTACGCTGCACTGAACGGAGAGATCAGAGGGTGGGAGGGAGACAGAGAGGGGAAGGAGGAGGAAGGTCTCCGAGGTGTTTCTGGAGTTTGGTTCCTGTCAGTTTCTTCTAATTATTCTTGGAACCCATTTCTCATAGATTCGTTTCTGGTGGCCGTGAGTTGGTTTGTAACTGGTCGGGATCCGGGTTGGGTTTTAGGTTTTGAGTCTTTGACTTTCTTTCTGTTTCTTGATTTTCTTTTCTCTTTCGAGGATTGGGTGTTGAGACCCATTTTGGGTTCTGGAAAAGCTTTTGTCGGTTTTCGCCTGAAACGGTGAGCTAAGTTGTTCCTTTTCTCCGTTTGAGTGCAGAGGTGCCCGTTAGAGGTTTGATCCCCCGAGAAATCTAAAGCACCAGTGTTTACGATCGGCTTCCAGATTCCTCTATTTTCTGTTTTAGGAGTCAGGGGTTTGAAACCAAAATTGTTTCACATGGGCTAAGTCCTTCTGCTGGTGTTTGTTTGAACTGTCCGGTTTACTTCGACACGGGAGGCTATCATGCATCTTTCACTGTGGAAGCCCATTACTCACTGCGCTGCTCTGATCATGGACAAAAAGAGCAGACGAAAGGATGAATCTACGGTTGAAATGAGAAGAAGCCGGTCAATTCTCCGGAAATTGCAGGAGAACAAGCTGAGGGAAGCTCTTGAAGAAGCTTCTGAAGATGGGTCACTCGTCAAATCTCAAGACATGGAATCCGAATCGCCCGCCAAAATGGACGATAGCCTTGGGAGATCCCGGTCACTTGCCAGGCTTCACGCTCAGCGTGAATTTCTTCGAGCCACTGCGCTTGCTGCTGAGCGGATATTCGAGTCTGAGGACGAAATTCCCACTCTTAAAGAAGCTTTCAACAAGTTCCTTACAATGTACCCCAAATACCAGTCGTCGGAGAAGATCGATCAGTTGAGGTCAGATGAATATTCGCACTTGTCCCCAAAGGTATGCCTTGATTATTGTGGATTTGGACTGTTCTCTTTCGTTCAGACCATTCACTATTGGGAATCCTCTACATTTAGTTTGTCTGAGATAACTGCAAATTTGAGTAACCATGCACTTTACGGTGGCGCTGAAAAGGGAACCGTGGAACATGACATAAAGACTAGAATCATGGATTACTTGAACATTCCTGAGAATGAGTACGGCCTTGTATTTACTGTCAGCAGAGGATCAGCTTTTAAATTGCTGGCTGAGTCATACCCTTTCCACACAAACAAAAAATTGCTGACCATGTTCGACCATGAGAGCCAGTCTGTAGCTTGGATGGCTCAATGTGCCAGGGCGAAGGGTGCAAAAGTGTACAGTGCATGGTTCAAGTGGCCTACCCTCAAACTCTGTTCCACTGATTTGAGAAAACAGATTTCAAACAAGAAGAGGCGGAAGAAAGATGCCGCTACTGGTCTTTTTGTGTTCCCTGTTCAGTCTAGAGTAACTGGGGCTAAGTATTCTTACCAGTGGATGGCTCTAGCACAGCAAAACAACTGGCATGTCTTGCTTGATGCAGGTTCATTGGGTCCCAAGGACATGGATTCGCTTGGCTTGTCTCTATTTAGGCCAGACTTTATAATCACGTCTTTTTACAGGGTATTTGGGTATGACCCCACAGGATTTGGATGTCTTCTGATCAAGAAATCAGTTATGGCAAGCCTTCAGAATCAGTCAGGGAGTACTGGCTCTGGAATGGTGAAGATCACTCCTGAATTTCCTTTGTATTTGAGTGACTCTGTTGACGGTTTGGATAAATTGACTGGGATTGAAGACGATGAAGTCACTGGGATGGTTGAAAAACCTGCTGAACGTCGTCAAGGATCACAGTTGCCTGCCTTTTCTGGTGCATTTACATCTGCTCAGGTACGAGATGTATTTGAGACTGAAATGGACCAGGATAGCTCTGAAAGAGATGGAACCAGCACCATATTTGAAGAAACTGAGAGTATTTCTGTTGGGGAGGTGATGAAGAGCCCTGTCTTCAGTGAGGATGAGTCATCGGACAACTCTTATTGGATTGATTTGGGACAGAGTCCATTGGGATCTGACCACACAGGTCAATTGAATAAACAGAAGATGGCTTCTCCTCTTCCACACTTTTGGTTCAGTGGAAAGAGGAATCAAAAGAGACATTCTCCTAAGCCAACTTCCAAAATATATGGCAGCCCCATGTATGATGACAAAGCAGTAAATCTTGATCCTCATGATGACCACCACGTGCTTTCATTTGATGCTGCTGTGCTGTCAGTGTCACAGGAACTTGATCGTGTAAAAGAGGTCCCTGAAGAGGAACATTTTGCTGAAGCAAGTGACTTTTTGAGAAATGGTAATGGGTCTGATCATTTGTATGTCAATGAGATTGAAGAAGAACCTGGAACTAGCAAAGCAGTTGATCTTGGATCTGTACCGGATGATCCTTCAAAAGAATCACAGAATAATAATTCATCTTCTGTTTCTCAGCATCACAGCCTTGAAAATGGCTTTACCTCTGAGATATCCTCTGATATTAAAGAGAGTGCCATAAGAAGAGAAACTGAAGGTGATTTTAGATTGCTTGATAGAAGGGAAGGGAATCGATTTGGTGGTGGTAGATTTTTTGGTTTGGAGGAGAATGAATCATCTAGCAAAGGAAGAAGAGTCTCATTTAGCATGGAGGACAATCGTAAAGAGTATCTTAGCCATAACTTGGAACCAGGGGACATATGTGCAACTAGCTTAGAGGATGAAGAATACACAAGTGATGGAGAATATGGTGATGTACAGGAATGGGGCAGGAGGGAACCAGATATAGTATGCCGGCATTTGGATCATATTAATATGCTTGGTCTCAATAAAACCACACTTAGACTTCGGTTTTTGATCAATTGGCTGGTCACCTCTTTGCTGCAACTGAAGTTGCCGGGCATTGATGGGGAAGACAAAGCAAATCTTGTCCACATCTATGGTCCAAAAATCAAATATGAAAGAGGTGCAGCTGTGGCTTTTAATGTCAGGGATGGAAACAGGGGGCTAATCAATCCAGAGATTGTTCAAAAACTGGCTGAAAAAGAAGGAATCTCTCTTGGCATTGGCTTTCTCAGTCACATACGAATTCTTGATAACTCAAGACATCATCGTGGGCCTTTGAATGTTGAGGATACAACTCTTTGCAGGCCAATGGAGAATGGCCGTCGTGATGGAAAAGGTGGCTTTGTTAGGCTTGAAGTTGTTACAGCTTCTCTGGGATTTCTAACTAATTTTGAGGATGTGTATAAATTCTGGGCTTTTGTCGCAAAGTTTCTTAACCCTTCATTTATCCGAGAAGATAGTCTTCCTACTGTTCAAGAAGGTTCTGAGACATAAGACCAACACAATATAGCTGCTGGTGATTTTATTCAATTTTGGAAACTGAACTTGAAAGAGATTATTTCCAAGAAGTTCCTAAAATGGGTGCCTTCCAGAATCTGCAAAAGAATGGATCAATGATCTTTTGTATGCTGCCAGATAGATAAATACTCATCTCTACTTCAAAGCCACAGAAGGAAAGCTGGTGAATTTTTTAACATGTTTCCTGTTGCTTCATATTTTACTTTCCTCTTCCAATTTGTTGTAGAGTTGGCTTTAGAGATTTGTTACTATTAGAAAGTCAGTGTACTTGACTCAGATTGTATGAGTGGAACTACTATCAGTAAACATTTTGCTTCTGTTGCATACAAAAGGATTTGCAACTTCGGTACAAAATTGGAGCTTGCCTTTTGCTGTTGTCTGAGACCATTCAGATCAATAACCCTCTTGACTTTGATGTCTTTGCTTGTTATAACTGAATTAAATTTGACTGGGAAGTGAGGACTTCACTAGCATATGCATCCCTTGCTGTCTTTAAATTTATATCAGCTCCGGAAAGATAAATTAATTCAGTGAAGTTTTTCTTTCTTTCTTTGTTTTTTTTTTTTTTGTCAATTGAAGGATACAAGATAGTGAGAATCAAATTTAAAAATTTCTTTGAATTAAGTAATTCATGTTCAAAATACCAAATAATAACCTTCCATTTGATTATTTTATACCTTAATTTGGGGGTGTATAAGGCTTAGTCCTTTATCTGGGACTGTAATGGATGCTACATCGATCAACAGTTTTTCTCTGCATGGCTCGGTACCATCTTGGATCCCCGCCCCCCCCAAAAAAAAAAAAAACAGAGAAACGAAAAACACAAAGGATTGCATCACTCATTTTGATTGAGGCTGGTAATTAATAGGTGTCATTTTGTGGAAAATCTTCAACCAATAGGTATACTAGATCATAGGAAGGTTGCATTTATTTATATATTTTCTTCTGCCATTGTCTTTTTGTATCAATCTTGATATGCAGGAATTTTCTTCAGGAAGCTTAGATCAAATGCTGTTTTGGGAAAGAAAAGATCCAACCATATATATATATATATATATAGAGAGAGAGAGAGAGAGAGAGAGAGGCTAGAATACTTTTTAATACACTTACGAAATTTTATTTTGCTCTAACACCAAAATTTGAAAGGCCGTGGATCTGTGAATATGCAAAAGAATAGTATTCGATTGATTGTAAAAGAAGTGAGGATTTAGATGGCACATGTCTATCACAGTTATACAAGTGGTGCCAATGACTTAAGTAAGTGTGAGCATTTGTCTATATAATTGCTTTATTGATTTCTTCTCTAAACCTATGCCCAACAGCTTATATCAGAAGTTTAGACCCATTAATCAATAGAGGATGTACGCAAGTGGAACTACTACATCAATCACCAGGTTCATTGTGTTCTGTTTTGCTTTATTGTTTGAAGGTTTCCGTTTGTATTGATTTTGCCATAAGTTCATTTTTTTTGTTGGCTGATTTTGAAGATCCCCTCCTGCTGTGCCCTATTGATAAAATATAATGGTAAATTAATGTTACGATCTGCTGGTTTGTTAGCACTTCCAGCTGTAGATTGTGATATGTATACGTTTTGTCTTGGATTAATGTTGACTTTGCATGATGACACTGGTTAAAAAGATATTTTTTTGGTTGGAAACTTTCTATCATAGCACAGCCGTCAAAACTTGGACTCTCTTTTGTCCTTCCTATTTTGCAATCAGAGATTCATACTACTGGAATAGTGATAAATATATGTATCTTTTTTGAAAAGGAATAGCGTGATTCAATTTATTCTGTACATGATGAAAACCTGCAGCAAGTTCGCAAGCTGTGAATGGTAAAATTTATTTTGATTTCCACGACTGCAAGTATGATTATGGGGCAGTTTTATAGAGATTGCTTGCACACGAGTGGTGCTTTGTATAACAAGCTTTCCTCTAGCATTCCTGCAACACATCCTGCAGCCTGTCTTTCAGTCAATCTAAATTCTCTATCATTCAAACTATGAAGATAGCATGCTCAGTCATCCATTCTATCAGTTTTGTGTTAATTTGGAGTAAACATGATTGTTCTATATATATATATATATAAAGCTGATCCATAGTGTCTTATGCCTCATGGATTTTGTAGGTTGAGGAGCATGTAGTTGAATCCTTGCACGATCCAACTTGGATATGTCCCGTTACTTGTGAAACTTGCGGTTGAAGCTTATGCTGTCAAGTAAAACTTCAAAAGGATAGGCCCCTACTGTCTGTCTTAAAAGAAAAGTTAGTCCGCTAAATCCCTAGTAACATATTCACCGGATGCTGAGTTTTGTTTTGACTTATAGTTCAATTTTGATCATAATCTTATCTCGAGTCTTTTAACATTTTTTTCTCCATTTATTAGATATCAGCACTAGGCTAGACTGCAATACATTTGATCATTTATCTCATTCAAACTGTTGCTCAGACGCAAACGTGGAGAAAAAGGCAGTTGCTTGCATCCTAGTTTCCTACGAAGTTGACCCTTCCCAGATGCAGATGCAGGTGGTCTAATTAGTCTTTGGAGTTCAGTAAGAACCATCTTGGATCATCATTTAGTAATTTGAAAACTCTATCTGAATACTATTGGAGGACAAGTTTCAACACACAGATTGTGGCCCGCTTCCGATATGCTAGATACGAAGAATAAGCGATGAAGAAAATCATGAAAGCCAAACAAGAAAAACAAAATGGCAGCAAAAGCTTAAATCCCAGATCCCACAAAACATGAAGCAAGCACCGCCAAATCAGAGACCAAAGAAGCCACCTAGAGCAGCTAAACAAGACTTGAGTGTTGTCCTTGTGCTGCATTTAAGCCTCAAAGAAACACCATGCAGTCAGCTTTAGAGTTAAAACGTTATCCAACCCAACTGATGATCCTACTCTTAAGAGCCACCATTTTCTAATGAGGTGAAATCGACAAGGACAACAGGCTAGCACATTTTAGGTGGGATGCGACCAGTTGGTTTGATGGGTTGACTTATTTAATCTATTAATTAGTTATAAATTTTACTTATTCTGGGCCATATGGTTAGTTAAGACTAGGAAGCTTGCTTAACCACAAACAAATGAGTTGACATTTGATGATGAGCAAATGGCATGCCACCTTGAGTGTGACTGGGAAGTTGACCCTTGGAAGTGGATTTGCCTGTTTATCCCGAAGCTGATCAGTTTCCTTATTCAGCTATGTATAGCTGTCAACAGGGTCCATTACATTTTACAATCCAAATGAAAAGGCCCACTAATAATAAAAATTTGAACACTACCAAACAAAAAAGAAGCATACACAGCCGTTTTTCAAACCCGCCAACCCTTGGGGGCCAACTGCAAGAAAAATTATATCTTTGGTATCAAATATATATATATATATATATTTTAAAGAAGGGAGAAAAGGAAGGAAAGAAAAAGAAACCTGATAGCAAAGACAAAGAAGATCATGAAGACATGAACTCATCATTTTGAATTGTCAAATGGTGATGGCGCTTTGGAAAAAGTAGAGATTGTCGTCTAAAGAGCATGATTATAGCAGTATGTGCACTGTGGAGAGGCGCACGCTAATGCACCAAGTGGATGTGGAGTAAACTGTAAAGGCAATCTATCCATGGATTCCCCACTCAACCGCAATCATTTTCTCTTCGTAAAAGAAATTATATTTAAATAGTTCAATTCATTTTCTTGTCATATTAACCTAGTGTTTTAAATTTTAGATGACAGAGATAACATAGTAATTTGAGAGAGAAAAGAGGAAAAAATTGGTAAATGTTTGAAAAATAAATTAAAAATATTATTAAAATCAACATAATGAAGATCATAAAAAAATCAAATGAATGGACTTTTTTGGGAAACTAATATTTTTTTATTGTCATATTCCATTGTGATTTGGTAATGAAGAATTTGCTTTCTGCAGTAAAATCCAAATTTATTTCCTTTTGAACGTGTTGAATGTGATCATGAGATGATGATCCTCGTTCCAAACTAACTTATAGAGTGAGCAAAACTGAAGCAAAATTAAAAATTAAATTAAATTTTTATTATTTAATTCAATCTATTCAGTTTTTTAATTCGATTTTTTATAAAAAAATATTTTAATTAATTAGTTAGATTTGGTTAGTGAAATTTAAGATTGAATAGATCGAACCAATTGAGTTATCATATATATAAATATATGTATATATAATTTAATAATTTATAAATTATATTAAGTTTATTAATTACATTATTTTATTTTATTCTTTTTAATTTTATACTTAAATAAAAAGTAAGTATATAAGATGATAAATTGAAACCCTAACCCCTTATTAAAATGGACAACTACCATTTTACAAGTTCAATTTTATATATAAGTTTTGTCTGTTTTAGTAAAAAACAAAAACAAAATTGGCCTAAGTTTAAACAGCTCAACATGAAGCCCAAAACTAAATTAACCGATTGAGTTAAATTGTCAAATTTTAATTTGGTTCTTATTTGATTTGATTATCATATTCGATTCATATTTTTAATATTGTTTGATTGATTAATTTTATATATCTTGGTGCCGAATCAACACGAACCAATGCTCACCCCTACCTCTAAGTGAATCCAATTATTGTTTCCAAAGAAAGTATCTACCAACATAAAATATGAGTTATCATCAAGAATTTTAAAAAATTATTTATAAATACCAATTCTAACAATTATATATAAAAGCCTAGTTAAAAATTGAAAGTTATTTTTAATATATAAATGTCGAATTTACATAATCTTAATTTTGTACTCCCTACGTTTAAAAATTTAAGGTATTTTTTAATCGAATTTCATCCCCAATAAAGTAGTTATTTACTTTTAAACTAACCCTATCTTTTCATATTTATTCCTATTAAACACCCTATAATAAATATAAAGTCATTATCAATAGGGGCACTTTAAAAAAAAAGTCAATAATTATACCTCTAGAGACTAAAAATGCTTTATATTTTTGAACGGAGGGAGTAATATTTTGAACTTTTATTTTAAGTTGATTTTAAAAAAATTATCACAGATCTTCTGGAACTTAATTATGATTTTCTCATGATTAAACTCCTTTTACCTGGTAAATTGTGTATTAGTTATTTTTATAAAAAATTAGTATAAACCCAATGTATTTCATTAAGTTTGAAAAATGAGTTACACAGTGTGATTTGCTAAAATTTTTATATTATGCATATATTTATATTGTGATTGAAAGGTCAAAAGTAAAAAAATCCCAATATTCATAGGAGCAATGAAAACTCCGAAAAGAAAGAAGAAGTTCTAGAGGTTTTGGCCAATACAATAGAACCGTTGAGTTCCAAGAACTGTTCTAACGAGGGCACTCAGAATATATGCGACTCATCTCTAGCGATCAGTGAAACATCAAAACTGAATTTGCATGATGATCAATGTTATTTACAGTTGATGAAGACAATGATCAGAGAGTCCCCAGGAAAGCTGCAATCGAATATCTATTCGTGCACAATAAAGCAAATAAACCATGTATTTATTCTAATGTGCACAGTGAACACTGGGTGGTCAAGATCAATCGGCACATCTAAGATTCCATCATCTTAATAAGAAATGCAGCTTCTAATGCTGATCCCTTGCTCTGCAGATAACGGTTTTCCTCTACTATATCCACGGTCAAATTTAACAGTATTGATCTTGGGTCATGAATGGCAAGATCACGGACTTGTGCAACCCATTTTGCTGCTTCCCAGAGCCCGAATCTGAATCATGACCAATATACAACCGTAAGTACAATATTAGCTGTAAGCAGTCCACACAAAGATCGCTGGTGTACATTTTAAACTACCCAGAAAGTCATCTAAATGTTCTCATAGGGTGCAACGCTTGTCTGTATTCTACAGTGTCGAGAGCCTTGAAACAAAAGGATCGTTATTAGGAAACCAAGGGCTTGAAGATCATCTATTCCGATCATACACCATAAGATAAACCTCAACACAAACTAGTTTTGAAGGATTTAGAAGTCAAAACAAGTCAAACCGTATTTTCCATAACTGCAGACTCAAACTAGGCTGTCCTCTACACAACAGACTAACTTCTGACATGTTCTAAATCTACTCACATTACACTTCCAAATAAAGGAGAATTTTATCATTATTTGCTTCAATTGCCACGTGTAAAACTGATGTTCAGAACGAAGACATTTTCAAACTACTACGTTCGTTAATATTTAAGTTCTGCATTGAAACAGCTGACAGCAAATCCAGTCTTAATATGAAGAACTGACTGGGACAAAGGGGATTCAAGTGATGAACATTTTTATATGCTCAAAGGTCAAAACAAGATTTATTGATTGAATCCAACCAAAGGAAAGTAATCAAGCATAATTAAGTTTTAATAAAAAACACTATAAATAAAGAACGCTAAACGAACAAGGAAAACCACTCAAGTTTCTCTTTTGGCACTTCTCACTTGGGCAATTCCATGCATACCACAGCTCCATAAATAATGCAGCTAGATAATGCTGTCAGAAAAAAAAATAATAGTCATCAGGAAATTACCGTGTATTGAAAGATGAGGTCACTAATACAGCTGGGTAAAGAACACCCTTCTGAATATTGCCATAAGGAGAATAATCCCGAATAGCAAGAAAATCATCAAGGTCCCCAGGGTAGCCAAACTATTCATAGTCAACAGGCAGAAGTGGTAAGATAGGATACAGAAGAGTGTTGGCCGCATCTAAGAATGGTACCTAAGGTAGAAACCAGAAGAAAGAAGGGAATGAGAATTAATAAGATCTACAGCAAATAAATATAAACTTCAAAGCCAAAGAAATGAAAAGCCCCAAGTGCAGAAATTCTTGGAATCCTTCAAGATTGCACCACGAAATAAATCTGGGCAACAGTTGATGGCTGAAGCAACCAAAAGGCCTCCAGCATTATATCCCCAACCTGCCAGTTTATCTTCATCCACCATATCTCTTTCAATCACGTACTTGGCACAAGAGATGTAATCATTGATTGAATTAGGTTTCTTTGTACATCTGCCATCATGATGCCATTTCTTACCGCAACCACCACCACCTCTGAACTATAAAAGCCAAATTACAACAGGCTAAAGAATAAACTTCAGAGAAAAATAGAAATTCGCACGGAAAATTTGCAGATATTCAGAAACAAACAATTACATTTGATAATAAGTACAACAATCTAAACATTTTGGGAAAATTAATTTACAAGTCCTTCCAGTTTTCCTCAATTTTGTTAGGTGCTTGTAGTTTATTTGGTTTTAATCAAGTCCTTGTAATTTGATCAATTAAATATATTAGTCTTTAAAAGTTAAAATTATCAATAAAATTGAATTTTTCAAAATAAAACACTTTTAAAATCTTATAGAAAGTTTGATTTAATACTCCTAGCAAAAAAAGTTTTGATTTAATAAAATATTTACATTTGTATTAATTTTTTAATGAAAATTCTATATGTATAAAAGTTATTTAAAAAACATAACCTAATTATAAAAATTTTGAATTATAAAAATTATGAAATTAATTCTAAAATCATATAATCTTTTTATAAATATATAGAAGTCCTTAATTTTAATTTTTAAAAGAGAAAATTCAAGGATTTTAACAAGCAAGGATTAACATATTCAATCGATGAAATTACAAGGGTTTAATTAAAATAAAATAAGTTATAGGGCTTTAATACAAAATTGAGAAAAACATGAAAAACCTATAGATTAATTTTCCCAAGAATGTTTACATAAGCAGCAGAGCATATTGCCGTTTTACTAAGGGCTTACCTAACATCAGCATGGGCAAGTGTCCAACTACGATTCAGGAGGCTTTTCAATTCACCGTGCCACCGTTTATCAAGCTCCATGTCCATGCAGTAAACCAGGCCTTTTATTCTTGTTCTTATTGTCACGTGCAAAAACAATAGTCAGAGGAACCATGACCCATCAAATGAAGGGACATCATATTGTTCACAAGCATAAAACTCACAGAGACTATTCCATAAGAGATCATCTTGAACGTTACCATTCAAAGAATTGAAAAATTTAGAGTATGCGGAGTCCCGGTTCATGCTTGCAGAACTTATACCATACAGTATCCGTGTTCTTTCCTGAAGCAGGTTTTGCTGTTGTATGATGTTCCAACAACCAGTTGTCCGGTCATAATCAACCACAGCATCAGGCATCTGCAAAAAATGCTTGACATGGTAAATAATTAGGATTCGGAGATGGGTTCTTTCAATCAAAACAGCTAGTTGGAACTATACAATGATCGATGAAGGCCAGAGTGAATGAATATGAGTGTCTCACAATCATATCTCATGTCAGAAAAATATGTAACAAAAGGCTTATAATAGATTGGTATGGATATGGAATAATTAACAAGGACTAAAATAGTAGTAGACAGAACAGACTTAGAAAGCAAAAATAAAATGTGTAATGTTAGCATACACCCAAAAAAGTGTGAAGTGGTGGGCAAATCAAGAGAAAGAGATTCACCAATATTACTATGAAATAATTGAACTTTTACTCAGTGTTTGCACCATCATCCATGTGATAAATAAGTGATATTCCTTAACAGATCAATAACAAATTACT